ACATTAAAGTGCCTGTGATGTCAAGTTTTTGTAATACATATGAATGCATTTTTAGAAAGAGGACATTGATAAAATACTGCAAAAGAAATTTCATGTCACTGAGATGAGCAGTTGTTAAGATATTTGCCTGTGAAGAAACAGGAAGTGATGTCAAAGGGGAATGTCTGCATGTGAACAGAGCGTTTCTACAACAACCAACAACACAGACTGCAGAGAAGAATCTGATGTTTCTTAAGGTTATTTTGAGTCACTTTCAGAGAGATGAAGAAGAGTCAGAGTTGAAATAATATTGTTTTGATAAACACAGAGAGAGTTTTCCTTGTTAAAGAGTTCCACTTTGATATCACTTTCTGTTTCACTTTGGCTTAGCCAAGTTTAAAAAAAAACAACAGTTATGGGACAAAATGGATTAAATTGTGTGTATTATTCCAACTTTCTTGAATATAAAGATGTTTTCTTTGACTTTTTGTATTTGAAGAATATGCGTGTCACAGGCACTTTAATACCTACTGCTACACCAGTAAATCYTAACTGAAATGTTTTACTGTGACTGAATGTACAATCAAATAAATGAGCAACAAACAAACCAAACTGATTTGGCCCTCAGTAATTTTGTGGACCTCTGTCAATAAACTTTTTCAGAGTTTTAGTCATYAAACCAGAATAATAGTTTGAGTCAGAAGTCCAGAAAAAAATATTACACAAGTGTGATCAGAACAGCTGAAAAACATCAAAATGGAAGTTTTTACTTGGTAGATACTTATTGTTACAAAATTTATACAAAAATACATTGAGAGCTTCTTAGTTCYTTCATGACTTTTGTTCTCTTGGACATGTGTTTTGCGTTTTTTAGCATTTTGCTAGTCATTTAAACTTTTAGCTTTACCCAGCAAGTTTCAAATTCTTCAGCAAATTTAGGGCTAGGGTTTGTCGGTATCCAGCACTCAGCAGTCACATTGCATTTTTGAAGAAAAAAAAACGGTTATAATTAGTTTCACACACATCATTTATTGCACCTTATTTCTAGCCTTGGTTCTGGATTCACTTCTTTGCATGGTTTTTGGATCAAATAGCACCGATCTTAGATTATTAATATTACACAGAAGTTACATGAATCAGTGCTGCAGAAAATAAAGGTGTAAAAAAACTGCACTTGCCTTCCCCTTGTTGAAGTGATGGAGGATTTTCCGGCTCAGGTTCTCCTTGCGTTGCCACTCACTCTGACAGGGGTAATGGAGGAAATCTCTCAGGGGCCGGTCCTCCCACTGCAGCAGCTCCCAGTACAGCAGCAGGGTGAACGCTGCCTCTGTTGTAAGC